GACTATGAGTCCCATGTGGTGGAATGGGGGTAATCACCTTGCAGACATTAAACAACTTTGCAGTATGCGGCTCGACAACTCTTCAATCCAGCTAATGGTTGGTTGTTCTTTTTCCTTCACAGGAATCAGGATGACTTTCAATTGGTGCGTAAGCTCGGACGTGGCAAGTACAGCGAAGTCTTTGAAGCAATCAACATCACCAACAATGAGAAGGTGGTGGTGAAGATACTCAAGGTAAATCCTTACAGAAAGAAGCTCTGATTTATGATCACATGCTTTAATTCAATCTGCCTAACTCTGCCTCCTCTTTTCCCTTTTAGCCTGTGAAGAAAAAGAAAATCAAGCGTGAGATCAAGATTTTGGAGAACCTACGTGGAGGTCCTAACATCATCTCCCTCATCGATATTGTGAAAGACCCTGTAGTAAGTAACACTTCACACTTTGGTCATAACTGCAACAAAGGCCATATTTAATTGATATGTTTGTTTTCAACAAACTTATGTTGTGTATGTTGGGGGTTCTGAAATATCGTCACTGTACCAATAGCGAGGCGAGCCCGCCACCTGTGCAAGGTTAACCCTTTTGCTTGGGAAGTATGTGTCTGTAAGTACTGAGCCAGCTCTGGCTGTAAGTTAGATGAATGTGTCTAAGCAGTTTAACACCCTTCCTATGTTGTGTCACGACTCTCCCCAAATAATGTACTGTTAGTATATTGCTTTATAAGATGCAGGAGTTCACAGGTCTTTCACACTGCAAAAATGAGACTATTGTATTCACTTTAACCTAAAACAACTATGAAACGCCATCAAAATCTATTAACCTCAGTACAACCAATGATAGTTTGATCATCACATACGTTACAATTATCAGGGCTGCACATAACTGGTGCGCAGGTGCGCATGCGCACCTCCGCCAAAAAAAGAGCACCGGGTAATTTGAAACAAAGCGCATTTGCGTACCAACATTGAGAGAGAAGGGAGAAGAGAAAATAGAGGAGAGAGAGAAGAGAGAGAGAGAGAGAAGAGAGAGAGAGAAAGATATTTGGGAGTTGCATATGAACCATGATATGAACTCAGGGCCGGCCCGTAGCACTGGCTAGATGTTCGCCTAGGGCGCCAGATCTGTGGAAGCGCTGCGCTGGCAGTTCTGGGAGGGAAACAAACATTTTGACCGTTGGGGCTCATCCTAATTTTCAGCCTTGATGTAACAACATTCATAATTAAGTAAATGTAACACCTTTTCACCCCGGTTACACTTTTCATTTGCCCTGTACGATGGGCGCTGTAAGTGATGAAAATTGGGGATGTTGGCTTATCTGGCGCCCGCAGCTCACAGCCAAAATGCGAGGGAGGGTGCACCGGTACCAGCGCTGTTGTTATTAGAATCTGGTGCTAGCTGCTCTAACGGATATTAGAAGAAGATGTTTCTACAATAATGTGGAGGGAGAGTCCTCTCCAGTCAGACTGAGAGGCTGATACTACAGCTCAGTGAGGTAAAGGACTCTGAGTCTAAGTTCAAACGGTTTGGTCACAATTTATGTAAACACATATTTCCAAGGCACTCCTTTATAATTATTGGGATAAACAGGTTTTAAATCATTCCAATGTATACTATAGGACAGTAACCAAACATATCCTTTAAAACTGGAGAGATAAAAAAAAATGCATAAATAAATGTTAAGGTAAAATAAGATATGAATGAACAACACAAATCAAATAAGTTACATTAATTTGTTATTGGTTATGTTCACATACTTATTTGATTACATCCACTTTTCTAAGATGACAACAGAGACTTTGGACCCAAACCCAGCTGTTGACTTGTGGATGCAAGCAGCTAATCACAGACTCAACCAGAGAGGAAGTAGTAGGCCTACATCATCAGTTACCATGTCTGACAGAGAGGAAGACAGTGAGGAGAACAGTCAGGAGGGTAGTGATGACAGCTTGTAGGATTACTGGTCGTGCTAATGTTGTCTTGTGTTCACCTCTGCATGTGTGTGCTGTGTTCACCTCTGCATGTGTGTTCTGTGTTCACCTCTGCATGTGTGTTCTGTGTTCACCTCTGCATGTGTGTTCTGTGTTCACCTCTGCATGTGTGTTCTGTGTTCACCTCTGCATGTTCTGTGTTCACCTCTGCATGTGTGTTCTGTGTTCACCTCTGCATGTGTGTTCTGTGTTCACCTCTGCATGTGTGTTCTGTGTTCACCTCTGCATGTGTGTGCTGTGTTCACCTCTGCATGTGTGTTCTGTGTTCACCTCTGCATGTGTGTTCTGTGTTCACCTCTGCACGTGTGTTCTGTGTTCACCTCTGCATGTGTGTTCTGTGTTCACCTCTGCATGTGTGTTCTGTGTTCACCTCTGCATGTGTGTTCTGTGTTCACCTCTGCATGTGTGTTCAGTGCCGTGTGTCTGGCAAATAAAGTCAAGACCCCCTCAAAAGTTACGGTTTATTTCACTTTAAGGATGAGCACCAAGCAACATCTCCAGGTGCTCCTTTGAGAACCAGGGCAAAAAAGTTATGTGCACCCCTGACAATTATCATATATTAGCCTTATGTTGATTAAGCAAAGCATGTCACCTTTAGAGGGACAACGGATTTCTTTCAAAGTTGGAGGATGCTCAAAGGTTTATTATTCCTTTTATAGTTAACAAGTCTCAGGAACAAAGCAGGGGAAGTCAAATAATGTAGCAACTTAAAGTGCCTTTTGTGCTTTACAGTTTGCGTTTCATGTAGCGCAAGGATTAGTCAAATTTAGATAGATGACAGATAAAAAACAACTGTCGCATTTCAAAAACAACGGTCAGACCTCAGGGGATGATAACATCCTCATCCTTTACTGATGACCGACGTTTGAATGGATTATTGAAATAAAGATAAGGAGAAATGCAGAGGTGGAAATAGGAAAAGAACACCTGTGCCCCATAGCATATTGTATTCTTTACAATGAAACTGCAGTGAAACTATGGGCTAATGTATCTCCCTCAATTCATTGTGCCCAGAGTCGACACAATAACTCAATTAACAGAAAAGCTATTTACTAATTTGATATAACAGGCATTACATTTTCTTGTTTCAGCTTCATTTTGTTTATTACTGTAATGTATAAATGTTCTTGTAGTCTTTGGGACTGGCCTGGCGAGGATATGAAGTTGAACTTGTTGAAGACTATGCCTTTTTTCTAAATTAATTCTGGGATTTAATTGTAAAGTCAAAAGACTGATTTCCAGATTATGAAAACGTATCCACAGTAGGGTGGTCATTAGTGCCATGAACATTTTCAAATTCATTTATTTGAAGCTCCAACCACCGGAATTCGTTATGATAGTCAAGAAAACTCTCCTGGTGAATTTTTTTTTTCCTGAATCTGACAACATGTACCCCTCCCTCATCAACCTGGGCTGCCACACCAGCAGCACGGTGCTGCAACTGAGGCGAAACTTCAAGGTTGATGAGGGAGGGGTACATGTTGTCAGATTGAGGAAAAAAATTCACCAGGAGAGTTTTCTTGACTAAAGGCCCGGACACACCAAGCTGACACCAAAGAACTGGCACAGACGGACCCCGACTGTTGTGTCGCCTCACGTCTCCTGCGTCTCGGCCATGTGTCACACTGGAACATACCGCAAAGACTTCAGCCGACGGCCAAGAAGCACGTACGAACTGCGCATGCGTGAGTGGCAATAACTCTCCTTACCAGCAGGCGGCGGTAGTTTGTATTCGTCATTCAAAAGAGGCAACAACTGGAAGACAGACTGCGTGATAACCGAGAGAAGAAGAACAGACTGCGTGATATAAACAAACAACAAATAGCGTGTGCGTTCCATTTTCACTCTACAGCGAGGAGCTCATGACGGTGCGGGACACACCAATCTGAATAGTGCGTGTCGACGCTCATCGTCGGCCTGACGCCCACCGACGGCCAAAATCGGCTTGGTGTGTCCGGGCCTTTTTATAGAATGAAATCTGGGGGTTGGAGTCTAGATTTTCCGACTTTCAATGTTAAGGACCACCCTAATCCACAGTTGAGGAAGCAACCTTTCTCAGACAATTTAAAATAGTGCTAAAACATGTTGATTAACTGACTGTCCTGATAGTTCTTCCTTCACCTGGTACCCCTTTCTGTTATCATTACTGGAAAATAAATACACTTTTCTTTATTTGTATTTACCTTTTCAATGTAAACTAAGCACTCATATACTAACAAAGGACTGGCTTATCTAAAGCCAGTTGAGTAGCACTTAAAATAGTTTGGCTCTATGAAACCTGATGTACTTATATGATTCTGTTTTCTTCAAGGTTGTATCTTCTTGGTCGAAATCACTTATTGTAAGTCGCTTTGGATAAAAGTGTCAGCTAAATGTAATGTAATCTGCAGCTTAGACAGACAAAGCAGTTTGGGGACATCACGTGGACTCTGGCAACTTAAGAGGCTGGTTAATAGAAAATAAAACCATCAATACATAGTGAAAGTGGATTGGTTGATCGCAGCTCTAGTTCATACTTTAAGCAACACATGTGGTTATGGTCAACAGACTGTATTTTTGATTCTAGTGTCACTAATGATATTAGCGTGTTAAATAAACAAACTAAACACTTACATAAGCACTTGCATCAACCCAACAATAGATTTGTTTGGATTGGCCAGTGACAGTGGTGGGATGTTGACCGTCCACATGCTGGCTAAGTTTCCTTGCATACTCGTGTACAGAATATAAATGTACATTTGGAGACTTGGTCATAGTGTTGCTCACATTGTGGCTTCCTGGTTAGTTTAGGTTTGCATTAGAACAATAGCTAATACAGTGTTTTATGTCCAATAGAAATATGTAATCAATTGTAGAAATGGTTGGCTAAGACTGCAACGCATTAAAAAGACAAATATTGATATTTAAATGTTTATTTCAGTCCCGGACGCCCGCCTTGGTATTTGAGCATGTTAACAACACAGACTTCAAGGTAAGAGCTAAACCTTCCCTTTATGCTCTCAAATGTGGACACCTCCTTTCTTGGCATGCTCATAGTTTTTCTGTACACGTGTGTGTTTGTGATGGAGGAATATGAAAGTCCAGTTCTATGTCTTCGGTGCCAGAAAGTCCACCATCTTCTGGTTCTATCCTCAATAACTGGTACACTTCCACAGCTGCCTGTGAGTCATGTATGACTAGGGATGGGTATCGTTAAGGTTTTAACGGTACTACTACTTTTATCGATACCGCTTATCGGTCCGGTCCTTTAACGGTACTCTTATCGGTTCTTTTGGAGAGAAACAAATTTGGTAAACTAACTAACAAATTGTGAACAAAATTAGCATTGCTTTTTTATTTAAAGGTGGGGTAGGTAAGTTTCAGAAACCGGCTCGGGTGCACTAACATTTGAAAGTACACAGCCGAAAAGAATCCGCCCCTTCCTTCAGACTTCCTAACAGAGCACCTCCTCCAACACACATGAACGCGCACATGACGTCAGCAGACTGCTGAAAGTGGCCGCCTGTTGCTGGCGAGTCATTGAAGTACTGCTGCAATGCACGCCCAATGACGACACGCCCAATGAGGGCACGAGATACATTTGTGCGTGCACGAGATGGAAGGCTGACAGACAGGGCGGCAATCCTACCCGGCTAAACGGATTGGTCGTGCTTTTTACAGTACCACGGCTTCCACAGATGACGTTTTTTTATGGATTTGTTGTCAAAGCACTTCAGATATTCATTGCTATCGGGATGTTAAGAGCATTCCATGGAATATAACAAAAAGTGTATCTCGAGCCGGTTTCTGAAACTTACCTACCCCACCTTTAAATTAAATAAATAATATTTCACCTCAAAAGAAACAACAACGTTTTAACAAATCGTATTAAATAATCTGGTGACAGAACTGTAAACAGAATAGCTGAAACTTTAACAAACTAAATAACTCAGTTACCTGTAATCATTAACCCATGTTTGTATCATGGAGTTAACTCCGTGTGGTGCTGCTAGCATACATAACACCTGACGTGGAAACGTTACTCGTGGATGGGGCTACAGAGCTGCTAGAAAGACAGTGGAACCCGGTGCATTCCTCCGTGTGAATGTGGAGCACTTTTGATAAATGTTTAGACAAATTGCTCGTGTTACCGCCCTCACATGCTAAACTCTTATTGTGCTTTTGGTAACGAGGATTGTCCACATCGAGACGGGTAAAGTTTAACCACACCTCGGAGCGCGTTCTCTCCGCCATCTCCTCCGTGTGTGTGTGTTGCTGCATGTAGCAGCTGCGTGTGTGTAAACTGCCCCGCCTCCTCGCACACAGACGGGAGAGAGAGATCTCTCGTCTGGATCGGAAAGATCGAAAATACAAAAAATAATCATAGACGCATTTTGCAGTCTTTTTGCGTATTAGAAACGGAGTTGGCGACACTAAAACTGCAATGTAATGTTTGTGTAGCAATAATACATGACATATTTGTTACATGTCTCCAGTACCGATAAAAAGACCGATAACGTCGGAGCTTAACGGTACTTTAATAATTCAGCCCTGGGGCCCGTTTAATACCGGGGCTCGGTACCCATCCCTATGTATGACAGTCACATGAACGTTTGCTGTGTGTTTAAGACATTACTAATAACATTGTTTTGGTCTCCAGCAACTGTACCAGACTCTGGCAGACTATGACATTCGGTTCTACATGTACGAGATCCTAAAGGTGAGTAATGTTTCAGCCATCTTTGTGCTCATCATCTTTAACCTCTAAATGTCCGGAGGATGTGAAGCATTAAGTCCTTAATCAAGACTGTTTGTCATTGTTATTCTGGGGGTTTGTACAAGCTTGGGTATTTTGGCAGAAACAATCCATTGTTAAGGCAATCAAGATTGTGGGTTTTGTCTTGTAGGCATCATCTTCTTGGAATCTTTCTAATGAAACCTGTGACCAACGAATAACAGAGTTTGTTTGTCTGTAGGCCCTAGACTACTGCCACAGCATGGGAATCATGCATAGAGACGTGAAGCCACATAACGTGATGATTGATCATGAACACCGCAAGGTAAGTGATGAAGTCAAACAATGTCTCTCTTACCTTAGCAAAAGAGTGATTCAGGAATGAGTCCTAAAACCTAGACTTAACATTTTAACACTTCTGGTTCCCTCATCTAAAAGTGACCGGTTTTTTTGAACATGTTTTTGGTTAGAAGCCTGAAATTAGGTCTTTGGTTAACATAAGCTGAAATGATCATGTTTTGTTTTAAACCCAAAACCCTACCACACAATGTCTAAAGCTGCTATGTGTCATAAAACAGCGGTTGCTAATAAGTGACTTAATGTCGTCACGCTGAACACCTTTAGCTTATAGGTGGCTATGTGAAGTCATGTGATTTTGTGTGTTGATGGCCGGACATTTTTACTTTTGGTGATTGGATTTGCACTTCAAAAATATGTGGAGAATATCATAAACGTTTCTGGCAACATATCTCATTTTCTGCCTCAATCCAAACCAAAAGTCCCATTGCCTTTAATTGAGGGAGCCAATGTGATGCTAATTTCTGGGTAGGCCTACACAATATGTAATCTCTGCACTGCTCTAAAAGATGATGATTATTTTTGTCCTGAAGCTTTTTGTCTATGTTTTCTTTTTTTCCCCCATTGACTAGTTGCACTCATTGTTTTAAAGGGGACCTATCATGCAAAATGCACTTTTGTACGTCTTTTATACATGAATATGTGTCCCCGGTGTGTCAGGGAACTCACCAAGTGTCAGAAACACAACCCTCTCTCTTTTCCTCCATACCCAAATCTCTAAAAACGGGGCTGCAACGGAGCTGATTATTATTTGAATTTTTCTGACGTCAGAAAAGGGGTGCTCCGCCTATATGGGCAACTCTCCACCTATCAGGGGAATGAGAGACCGCTGGAAAGCGCTGGAGACGCTGTAGTACATATATGCCAGGCCTGTAGGTGGTGCTGTAGTCTGCCACAAAAGCAGAATCAGCCCTTGCAAAAACAGGGCTGGAAAAGAACAAAGAGCGAAATGAGGCATGGCTAAAATACAGGATCTGTTTGGTATTTTGAAAAAAAAACCTTCACAGACATGTTTTATATAGGTATGGCCCTACAATATATGTTTCAAACATAGCATGATAGGTCCACTTTAAGTAATGCATGAGAAATAATTAAATGTCCATTTTTTTTGTATCTTGCATTGGACAACAACTAACTGCTTCATATCTGTCTATAGTTGCGCCTTATCGACTGGGGGCTGGCCGAGTTTTACCACCCAGGACAGGAGTACAACGTCCGAGTGGCCTCCCGCTACTTTAAAGGCCCCGAGCTCCTGGTGGACTATCAGGTACATGGGGGGCGGGCACACTTTAGTTTGAGCTGACATGGTTACATTACATATCATTTACATCTGTAGGTATCCAAGCGGTGTCTTAATTATCTGTTACACATGTAATCTGAGACATTGCTCTTCACTTTTCAGTGTTTTTCTCCAAACCTACTGACCTTGCATTTTTTGATATTTTATATCTACACACACGTACCGGGTCCGGCTGCGCCCCGGTTTTGTGCCGACCTCCTCCAGCGCCAAACCCCACCGGGCGCGTTTCAGAAGCGGACCGTCTTGCGTGCCGGCTCGCAGTTTTGGTTGATTTGGGCATATTTCCTGGACAGGCTACATTGTACAGACAAAGTTAATAATAATTGTAATAGTCCAGTTATAAATGAAAAGATGCGTTGCTGTATTTTAGTGGTAAAAAAATGCATTCATCATCATAATTATTTATATAATTTACACAGTGCCTGTAAACCGGAGGAGAACGCTGGCATTTCTCCTCCTACTTCAAAGACTACGGAGGGATAGGGTCTGTAAATTAGTTTATTTGGGGGATTGACTGGATGCTCTGCAGGGCTCGACATTATAAATGGCCCGCTGGCCCGGAAGCACTATTTAGACACCCCGGGCCAGCATAACGTACTTTCCACTTGCCCGCTCGGGCCACAAAAATATTGTTTAAAAAAAATGGTTTCCTGTGGTATTGGTATTTTGACTAGCAATTTTGTTCAATTGTTTCGTTTATTAACGCTACAACATAGCATTTCGTGAGGCGCTTGTCGTTGTTGGGTGAAAAGCAAACAGCTGTTTGCTGCGGAGCACAGCGCGAGCAGGCTCCCGTGAGCGGGAGCGCGCTCCTTCACTACAGACTATCGCGCCACCTAACCATTCGCCAAAATGTTTTTAATACCAGCAGTAGCCGGGCAAAAAACTATCTTCAAATAAAAGAAAGTCACCGGAGGAGTTAAAGGAGAGTGACAGGGGCATGAGAAGAAGAGGGAGAGAAAGTTTCAGCCAGCTTGATCGATGGTTCTAGTGGTGCAGTGACGCATCCTAAAACCCTTTTTATAATCTATCGATTAGATTTATGATTCGAACATTATAAAAGTAGGGTAGACATGTGGAGATTATCCAGCTGAACAAAACGTGCATTTATCAAACAGGTTTGTTTTCCACAGACCTTATTTCCAGCTATTTTCCAAAACCCTGTGGAGAAATCCCATTGCTTTTTGTCGAGGGAACCAGCCGCTTACTTCCTGGTTTTAGGACGCGTCACTGGCTGCACCTCTCAATATGATGCCAATATAAACAAGGTCTTCTGTCGGCTCTGTACATCAATGCCGACCTATGCTGACAAGTAAGTGAAGAGTAGACAATATAAAGGTATTGGCTATAGGGAAATGTCCCAGCAGTTTAGGATAATGAAGGATCTAATCAAATCAATTACATAGCCATATGTCTAACTCCTGATGACAGGAAGGCAGAAAGTGCATTATACAAATAATAATACTCATAATAATAGCAGACATTTTTTAACAATGACCACAATATCATTATTTTAATAAACCAAATATGAACAATTGAGGAAAAGGAGGAAGAACTGATTGTTCAAATGTTGTAGTACAAGTAGTAATGTAGTTGGTGCATAAATTACTATTGCAACAAATGTGTTAATGTTCTTCATTATTAGTCGATTTTTTTTTTTGGACGAATGCTCCGGGCCAGTGGGTACAATGGTGGGGCCAGTGACAATACAATTCCACCGGCCCGGAGGGCCAGTGGCTTTTTACCCTTAATGTCTACCCCTGCTCTGACCGTTCCAC